AACGTGTTGGAATTTATATGAAAGACCTATTTGGAGTGAATGTTGTAATATAAGATTGCATTTATTAGCCTGATTTCAAAGCTATTTTTGGTGGTGTTATCAACCGATAATTAAACACCAGGTGTTGATAATACTACTTCAAGTAGCTCCTAATTAAGAAGAAAAGAAAACAGGTTCTGCATCTAAAGCTGAAGCAGAAGTAATTATTAATTATATATAAAAATAAATAAAGAAAAACAATTATGAATTAGAATTAACTGCTAGCAGCTGGGTGAACAAAAAGTTTAAAGTGATAATTATATAATAATTAAAATTATAAATTTACCAATATTTCTTTAGATTCTTTCAAGTTTAATTGTATGGATAAAACATAAGTTGTCACTCCATTCTAAATAATTTCTTCTATTTGAATCACTTGTAAATGCTGTTAAACCAATAATCTTAATACAAGGTATATTCTAAGCTTTTTCATCTCTTTAGTTTCAATTCCATTAAATATAAGCATTTGATATTCCATAAAATTACATCAAGCAATTAATAATTATTACAACTTTTTTTTATTTGGTTCAAAACACCTATAGCTTATTATCAATTAAAGCCTATTTAATTATAATAAATATTAACCACTAAAACTTCAAAATCTAATTTATATAATGGTGAAAGCATTTTTCTTCTTTAACATTTCGTGTTTTATTCAAATTCAAAAGGTCTAATGAGTTTTCTTAATCTTCCAAAAATTTTAATTATTTAATACAATATACGACAGAAGACTTCAATATTATTTGTTTCCTTAAATTATTTTTCTACGTGATTATCTTAAATGGCGAAAATTAATAAGTTAACTTGAAATCTGAATTTCATAAAAATCAATTAAATCCTGCTGATCAAGAATCGATAATTAAATGAGTTATAATTTGCTCATATTTTAAAAAAAAATTACATGAACAGAGTATTATTACAGATACTGATTATAAAAAATAAAAATAATAGTTTCTTTAAATTACAGTATAATCATTATGTTTAAAGATTGAATGAAAAATACTCTTTAAAAGAAACCTAACAATCTACTTAAAATATAATAATATTAAGAGACATAATTTTTAAGAAATAATTATGATCTCTTAAAGAACTAAGTAGCATTTTGAAGAAGTTTTAAAAATAGAAAATAATTAATCATTCACATTTAGTAAGGAATTATAGATGTTAGTTTATTTAATCAAAAGATTCTGATTATTATTTTATGAGATCTTCATTTAATTAAGAATTATTTTATTAAGATAAATGCACGCTTACTTTGTGTTGAAATTTCTTGTATAAAGATAACAAAATAGATACAAAAACACAAAGTATTGATGATTATATTCATGAAAAGACTTCATTTCAATTCGAAATAAATATTAATAGGAATAAACGATAATTCTAAAATGTAATGTCAATAATTATATTCTCTATATTAAAGAAATACTAATTTGAATGATAAATAAATCAAATTTCTAAGATTAATTATTTAAGCAATATTACTCATATTAACTAGGATTTCTTGTCTACATTTTTGAAGGAAGAATATTATGAGTTACAATTTCAATTTTATAAATTTATAAAAGATTAAATCTACAAATGTATATCTAAAATAATTATTAAATTTAAGAGATTGATTAGTAACTTATTAATTAGTCTAAGTATTAATAATTTAAATATTTTAGAAATAAGAAAAAAAACTTTAGATATACCTTATGTAGTGTTTATGAAAATGATTGAAATAACAAATGGCAACCCTAAAATGAAAGAGCTATTACTAAGTATTATCATGATGTCTATTATTTATAAATTAATGTAAGAAACATCCTTAGAGCTTGTTGAGTCATTCTAACAACTAATAATTTTCCATCCATTTAACTTTAAAATTAACAATCATAGAAGGCAAATTCTATTCTTAAGCTTCTTTTTATTTTACTTAAA